CACGGATTGGGCTAAGGCTATGGCCCGATCATTTCTCCTCCAAACCTTCTTGCCTTGTCTCACACGTGAGCTTTTGGGGGCACCTCACACCCAAACCGTAACAACTAGTGAGTAGGACAAGAAACACCTTCTCACACCAGAGTAACTAGAAGACAGCAAGCTTCCCAACTTCCCATTGTGTGTGAGCGGGAGAGCAACAGCGGGCCCCCAGCCCTCCCAGCCCTCTGTGGACCACCAGGAGGATCTGCTCCGAGGAGGGAAGGGCAGAGCCTAGCCTGAGCAAGGTGCCCAAGACCCTCAGCTTAAAGGAGGGAGGGTCACCCTGACTCACAGTGTCAGTCGGTGCCCTGTTAACCTCTTGTCGGGGCTGCGGCAGCACATCATGGCCAGCGCACGTGGCAAAGGAAGACCACTCACCTCAGAGCCGCTGGAAAACAGAGAGGTGGGAGGGGCCCTGGGTCCCACGCCACCTTCAAGGGCACGCCCCCATGACCTGCCTCCTCCCACCAGGCCCCCCTCCTCCCAGTGGTGCCTCAGACTGGACACCGAGTCTTTACACGTGGGCCCTTGGGGCACGATTCCCATCTAAACCATAATAGAGCCCCAATTTCACCTCCACCAGGAAGCCCATCCAGGCACCAAAATACCAGGAAATGTGCACCGTGGATGAGCCCGATGTAGTGCCACAGAACCACGCTGGACACGCCGCGGGTACGTTGACAGGAGGGGCTGGATGAGCTGCTCACCAGGCACGGAGGAACCCAGGGAAAAGCAGCCTAAGGGCCACCCCAAAGCTACCCGCACCCACCCCGCGGAAACAGGTGCTGCAAGAAGACTGCAGTCACGGAGTGTGCAGCCTCTGGGGCCCAGGAGGGGCGTCCTCGCCAGGGGACGGCCAACGTCACAAACCAGAGAAAATGAGCCGGTTTTTCCAGAGCTATGAAAACTGCAAACTGAAATCAACTCCCTGGTCAGGGAAATGGTCAGGCCCAACCGATGGTGGAAACCAGCAAAGCAAGGACAGGGAACAAGATGGCAGGTAGGGGACCTTCTCCCCACCAGCAGCCTCCTCCAGCGCCCCCTGCTAGCAGAGCTCCACAGGGAGCGGCTGGCAAAGCGGGTGTGGTTGGCAGAGCCCCCCAAGGCCACCGGGCGGGTGGGACAGGCCTTAGCAGATGGCCCAGCGGATGTCAGACCAGCCCTGCACCCGTGGTCAGTCCAAGCATGGCCACTGGGTCTAGGTTATGAGGGAGGAAGAGGGTGTACTCAGGGACGCCCACTGGCATCTGAGGTGATGTGTCAGGAGCCAGAAACACTCCCCCAGGGCTCAGCCAAAGAAAGGCAGAGAGGTAGACAGGTGGCGGGCGCTAACGTGTAGCGGACCTTGCACTTCTCTTGCAACCTTCCATGAGTTAGGAATTTTTTTAAAATTTAAAGGGAGGGCTGGGGGTGGCTCAGTGGTAGAGCACTGGCCAAGCATGCACGAGGCCCTGGGTTCCACCCCCTTCACACACACACACACACACACACACACACACACACACACATGTGAGAAGAGCTACCAGGACCTGGTCTCTCAGAGGATCACAAGCCAGAATACGCACCTGCTCACTTCTCTTGGGGCACCGGCTGCGGTCTCCTGGACGGCCCTGGAGGTAACATTGCAAAGGGGACTTTCCCCTTTTGGACGATCAGCTGTCCTGAATTCACAAGCGATCATCGAGCATGAGGGTGCACATTGTCCCCTCCCTCCGCCGAGGTTTGCAGCAGCTTCCCAACGCAAGGGGGTCCCTGGGCCCAAGGGGCCCAAGAATGGGCACAGCCTTTACTATCCTCCTCCGCCCACACAGAACCCTCCTCCCAAGGCCGTGCTGCCTGGAGGAGCCAGGCTGGCCACTCGGCGCTCTGTAGAGGGACACATTTGTACTGTCAAGGACAAGAGCCACTGGCAGCCCGGCCCACAGCTGACCCCTCTGCATCATCAGGGAGAGAAGTGGTCTTTAAAAGGCCCCGTGGGGGTTGAGTCTCTGAGCCAGGAGTGTTGGTGAGGTCACTGCTTGGCCGGGCTCCACCCGGAGATCGCGTGGTTTCCTCTGCTCTCCAGGCCTGCCTGGAAGGCTGCAGGGAGGGTCTGGGTTTCTCTTGCTTCCCACACCTGGGCAGGAGCCCAGCCAAGCAGAGAAAGGTCCCCAGGGAGACTCCTTCCCGACCAGCCCCATCCCAGCCCGACACCATGTGACTCCCAGGAGCTGGCTGACACAGAGCAGGAGACACCCACAGGCTCTGGGCGGCAGGAGCCCACAGCCAGCCAGGACAGCCCTGAGGCCCAGGGTCCAAGCAGGCAAGGATTCGGAACGGTGAGCACAAGGACAGCACTGGTCAGGGTGGGGGTTGGGGGCCCGCCCAGAAGCTTGGCATCTTTCTCCTGTCTGAGCTCTTCTGCTGGCCTAACGGGGGAAGGCACAGTGGCCAGCAGTGGCCTGACTGTCCAGAGAGCGTCTGTCCAGCCATACTTCACCCTCTGATTTGGGCTGAGCCGCCCGGCCTGTGGCCAGCTCGGGGCCACTTTCCCTGTGTCGCATGCCACTCTGTCAGGGCTGTGGGGGTCGGAGAGGCTGGGCCCCATTCCGAGGAGGGACAGGGAGACCAGCCGCACTGGACCCTGATCCTGGGAGGTGTTGTGGCCCCTCAATCTGTCCATGGCAGGAGCAGGGCCAGGCCGGGCAGGTCTGCAGAGGACAAAGACACAGGCTTGCCCCACCCACCCTCCTGGGTCCTGGTGTTCTGCCTCTCGTCCTCCTCACCCTGCATGACAATGCTCCTCTACTCCCTCAAGGAGTCTGAACCCCAGTTGTGGGGACCCCACCTACTGAGCCCCCTCCAGGGCCTCCAACTGGACCAGTGGCCCCACACAGAGCCCCCGACGCAGGACCCAGCTGAGAAAGGCCCTGGCTGGCCTGGCTGAGCCTCGCCCTCCTGCCCCCACCCCCCTCTGCCCACCTCCCACCTCCCTGTTCCCCTCCCCTCCCCTTCCCCCTCTCCTTCTCTCTTCCCTTCCCTCTGATCTGTGGCTTCTGTTCCTGGCTCCCCCTGGGGACCCTGCACTGTGACCCAGCTTTGTCCCGGGGCAGCGGGAGGCCCTCAGCAGTGGTCTTTGGGTGCAGGAGGTGATTGAAGAACAGTATGGAGAGGAGAGGTGGGTCAGGGCCCCGCCTGGAGGCCGGACACTGGAGAAGCCCGCCCACTCCTTTGGGGCCACAGCCTTGCTGGGGGTCCTGGAGGCAGCTTTGAGCATGGGGGACTGAAGACCTCCCACGCTCATCTCTGCCTTTCCCCAGGCTTGGCCGCAGGGCCACACCCAGTCCTGTCTGAGACAGGCGTGCCCACAGCCCCCGCAGTGTCTCCCCCTTGCTGGTGCTGACCAGGCCAGCCCGCTAGTCACCAGGCGGTCAGGCCTCACCTGCTGGTGTCCACCTGTCTCACCCTCATACACCTGCTCATGGCCCATCCAGCCTTCCAGGGACGAGGGCGCTAGGACAGAGTGCACAGCCAGGAGGAGGGTCCTTCTCCACCTGGGACTGGGCCCCACTCCCAGACAGCCCCACAGGCAGGACGTCCAGACTGGCCAGGGAAGGCCCAGCTTCCCAGTGGCAGGAGCAGCCACCCTTTCCCAGGGCCTGTCACTTTACCCTAGTCAAACAGTGACCGCAGAAAACTGAGGGTCTGACAGGAAGAGGGGGTGACAGGACCCGCAGGACAGCCAGCGCCACCGTGCTCAGCATATGGCCCTCTGCAAGGCCAGTTTCAGCCCTGAGTCCTGGCCCACCCATCCTCCTGCACTGTGCATGGACACTCCGTCCCTAAAGGGAGAGAGCAGGAGATTCAAACAGTCTCGAGGTGGGAGCCTGCTCTGTGCACCCCCATCTCCCACATCTCCTCCCAGCCCCCCCAGGAGACCAGAGGACCAGTCACCACCAGGCAGAGGAGGCACAGGGAGATCATCCTCGGCCCCCTCTGGTCTCCAGAGAGAGGCAAGGCCCTGTCCCTTCTCTGTAACCTCACAGGGAGGAGCTGTAGGCACCCAGTGCTCAGGGCAGCTGCTGGGGATGGGCCGCCCCAGGTGGCAAGATAGGAGCAGGTAGCCACGGCTGGTGGGGCGGCAGGTAGCTTCAGGTGGGCCTCCTGCTGAGCTCTGCGTGGTCCTGAGGTCTCCTGTCCAGCTGTTTCACTGGCAAAGCTGGAGGGAGATCCTGCTCCATCCCGCTCAGGGCCAGGTGGGCTGTTCCGGTCAGATCTGAGCCCTCACCCGTATTCGGGGCCTGCCCGGTGAGCCAGCTGCCCAGGCCTGCCACCAGCCTCAGCATCAGAGTAGCCTCTCTTCCCCCTGAGGGGAGGGGACTGACAGGTGAGAAGCAAGGAGAGAGGGCCGCAGGGACATGGCAAGGGGGAGAGGGGGACTCCTGGGTCCCAGGCTTGCACATGGCATGGCCAACTGGGGGGCAGGGGGAGCACTGTGGTGGCAGCCCCTCGTGGAAGGTCTCATAAGACCTGCTCTAAGATGACACACACTTGGCCACCGTGAGCCTCCCTCCGGGGTCCTGCACTCACTGGACCTAGGCCCTGCCTGTGGCCCTAAAACAAGACTTTTCTGGGGCCCTGTCCTCTCCCCACCCCCCTGTGCCTGCAGGGCCCCCTGCCGACGGACGGCAGCAGCTGGACGAGGGCACCCTTAGCAGCCGCGGAGGCTGGGGCCTGGAGAGTGCTGGCCTGAGTGCCTCAGACAGGGAGGAGGGCGAGGTCAGGTGACAGGGAGAAATGGAAGGTGGGCACCTCCTTCAGCCGGGTCTCACCACCCGGATTGCCCACCCAGTCCCTAGCCAGTCCCTCCCCTCACTCCTGAACAGGAAACTCAGAGGACTCTGTGGTTTCAGGGCGCCAGGAGAGAGCAGAGTGGACGTCCCTGGCCTCCCGGCCTCCACCCATTCCACCCTTCCCTGGAGATGGAGTGGAAGGAAGGTGGCCAGCGCGTAGCTGCCCCCGACCGCAGCCAGGAGGACCAGGCCTTCAACCTGGTCATTCTGGCCCTCACGGAGCTGCTCAGCCTGGGCGGGCTGCTGGGCAACGGGGTGGTCCTCTGGCTACTCAGCCGCAACGTCTACAGGAACCCCTTCTCCATCTACCTCCTGGACGTGGCCTGTGCCGACCTCATCTTCCTCGGCTGCCACATGGTGGCCGTCGTCCCCGACCTGCTGCCCCGCCAGCTGACCTTCCCGGGCTTCGTCCAGACCAGTCTGGCCACACTGAGGTTCTTCTGCTACATCGTGGGCCTGAGCCTCTTGGCGGCCATCAGCATAGAGCAGTGCCTGGCCACCCTCTTCCCCGCCTGGTACCTGTGCCGCCGCCCGCGCCACCTGACCACCTGCGTGTGCGCGCTGGCCTGGGCGCTCTGCCTGCTGCTGGACCTGCTGCTCAGTGGGGCCTGCACCGAGTTCTTCGGGGAGCCCAGTGGCCACCTGTGCAGGACGCTGTGGCTGGTGGTGGCGGCCCTGCTGGGCGCCCTGTGCTGTGCCATGTGCCTGGCCAGCCTGCTCCTGCTGCTGCGGGTGGAGCGTGGCCCGCAGCGGCCCCAGCCCCGGGGCTTCCCCGCCCTGGTCCTGCTGGCCGTCCTCCTCTTCCTCTTCTGCGGCCTGCCCTTCGGCATCTACTGGCTGTCGCGGAACCTGCACTGGCACATCCCCCACTACTTCTACCACTTCAGCTTCCTCATGGCCGCCGTGCACAGCTCCACCAAGCCGGCCGCCTACTTCTGCCTGGGTAGCAGCCAGGGCCGCAGGCTGCGCGAGCCCCTCCGCCTGGTGCTCCAGAGGGCCCTGGGGGACGAGGCCGAGCTGGCGGCCGGGAGGGAGGCTTCTCAAAGGGGCCTTGTGGACATGACGGCCTAGGCCCTCGTCCCAACCTCAGCTCTGGCCTGGAAGCCAGGGAGCTGCCCACCAAGGGGACCTCCAAAGGAGGTCTCTGCTGATGACCTGCCTGTGAGGACCACCAGTGTCACCCTCACTCCCCGTGTGAGGCTCACTGGGGAGGCTGCTGGAGGGTCTCTGGGGAGGCAGCCTGGGAACTTGCACTTTGAGGACACCCCCCCAGGGCCGTTGTCCTGCCCAGGAACTCATGAGAGCCCCTGGGTTACACCCACGTTCCCCAGGGACAGCAAGAGGCAGGCAAGGAAGGGAACAGGCCAGTCCCCAGGTGGGGGCAGGCCAGCCGTCTCCCGCCAGCTCATCCTGCCTCCCCCCGTCAGCCTCCCCACAGCCGAGGGCACACCCCGGATATGTGGGGATGGGACAGTGTGGCCCGCCTCAGCTCCCCAAGGCCCTCCCTCCAGTGTGTCTGCAATGCCCTGAGATTGGAAGCTGGCTCAGGCATGGGGAGTGAGGCACTCAGGGGACCCTGGGTGGCTGGGCCACAGAAGAAAATGTCCGCCAGACCCCCACACCCTGGCCAGTGAGCCGAGGCTGCCCCCTCCCCCTGTGCCAGGAGCAGAGCTGGCCCCTGGTGCAGGGTGCTCGGGCCAGCAGCCCCCTGAACCCCAGGGGAAGCTGGGTCGGGCTGCAGCGGCGGGGCAGCAGTCACAGCCCTGGCAGACTGCTCGGACTACCCCCGGTGTCCACCTGGGTTCCTGCTGTGCTCTCCGGGCGTCGTCTGACCCAGCACCGCCCAGAGCTTGAGGCCCATCCAGGCAAAGCCCCAGCAGCTTCTGCGTCATCGGCTCATGTCCCCTCAGGAGCTTCAGGTGAAAATTTGTGACGTCCCGAGTGCCAGTGACCTCCCCGTGAGGCTGCACGTGGGTGGAGAGCTTTGAGGCCTACCCTGCACAGCTGTGGCAGAGGAAGGCAGACAGGGGCTCAGAGGGGCTTCCAGAGCCTGGGGTTGTCAGTGACCACTGGCCCCTCATGCATGACTGGGTCCTGGACCACGCAGACCTCTCCCCAAGCTTCAGGAAGGCTGTTTTGCAAAAGCTTCTTCTGCATCGTGAGAAGTGCCCTGAGTGGGCAGGAGGCCCTGGCAGTCCTGCCCACACCTGGAGCAGCCCCACAGGAAAGTCTGGACTTCAGCTCTTGGGCAGCCCCCCACCTGCACCTCCTGGGCGGGCATGTCCCACTCAGGAGGGTCGCTCTGAGGACACAGCCCAGGCTCTGCCCCTCAGCAGGCTGCAGAGCTCCCTGGTACTGGGCCTGGGGCTCAGAGATGACCCAGAGCTGATCCCCGAGTGTCTCATTTCCCGGTGCCCGAGCCAGCTTCCAACCCCAGGGGTCAAGGGCAGGGGCTTTGGAGCCCTCCAGCCTGGGCCGAGCCAGTTCCCACCACCCCGTCTCCATGGGTGGGTTGCTCAGCCTCCCCCCGCCCCTCTGGGTCATCTTTAAAGCACTAGAACCAAGCGAGTCCACAGTGTGAGAGGCTGTGAAGTGTGTCCGGAGCCTCACGAGCCCACGGAACTTCACCACGTCACTGACCCTCCGGGCCCAAGTCCACCGCACGTCTTGACCTGGGTGTCCGAGAGATCTTCTTTACAGCTGTCAGGACCTCCTTCTGACCTGGAGTGGCTGGGCCGTGGCCAGCGTGATGTTCAGGCTTGGCCAAGAGCTTGTCTTCTGAGGTGGGGTGAGAGTCTCAGACCCCTACCCAGCGTCCTGGGACCCCTACCCAGCGTCCTGGGACCCCTACCCAGCATCCTGGTACCCCTACCCAGCGTCCTGGGACCCCTACCCAGCGTCCTGGTACCCCTACCCAGCGCCCTGGGATCCCTACCCAGCATCCTGAGACCCCTACCCAGCATCCTGGGACCCCTACCCAGCATCCTGGGACCCCTACCCAGCATCCTGGGACCCCTACCCAGCATCCTGAGACCCCTACCCAGCATCCTGGGACCCCTACCCAGCGTCCTGGGACCCCTACCCAGCGTCCTGGTACCCCTACCCAGCATCCTGGGACCCCTACCCAGCATCCTGGGACCCCTACCCAGCGTCCTGGGGCCAGGCCTCCCACCTTCACCCAGGCTCCTGTGCACCCTGGTAGGTGTGGGCCCAGGGGTCCCTCCTGAGGTGGCTTGGGGCCAGTGTGGCCCTCCGTGTCCACCTCCTGGCAAGATGGCCCGGTTCAGTCTCTCTGGGGGAGATGAGAGCAGGAAAGGAGGCCCCTGTCCACAAATCCACTTTCGGCCCTGACACACACCTCCTCAGATGGAGGAAGACCCAGGGGGGGGGGGGGGGGGAAGCGCCACCAGCCCACGGGTGCCCTATGCCTGGACGTTAACCCAGAACCCTGCAGTGGTGGGGAGGGCACTTACACGTGAGAACACTGAGGCTCGGGGATCTGAGACCACCCCAGGCCACCAGACAGTCCCTCCCTGGATCCCTCCACACACCCTGCTGGTTCAGGACTGGCTCAGGAGCCCTGAACACACGCTGGCCCCCATCCCCTTTTCCCCATCTAGGGGAGAGATAGGTCATGGACCCTCGGAACATGCCCTCCTGCCTGAGAGCCCCTGCCCGAGAGCCCACCCTTGGTCCAGGGGAGTTGGGTGCAGCTCTCAGTCCTCCTAGCTGACTCAGGGAGCACAGGTGTGGCAGCAGGTATGCACCCTCAGCCAGACTGTCTGCCCAGCCCCATGCTCTGGGGAGAGAGCCAGGGGTACTGGGGCAGGTGATGGTCCTCCTAGCCTTCATCGGAGCTTCCAGGGCCCACGGGCAAGGCAGCCTGACTGCCCACCTGGCCACCTGGCCACACCTATCAGCTCACCTGGCTGCTCCTCCCCTTCTGCCCCAGAGCCACGAGGGCCCAC